TTGTTGTTTTAAAAGAAAACATGTCTTTTAAATCCAATGAATATTCCTGATACATTATCCATTTATTCAAGAGATAGATCGACTTCAACTCCAAGTATTTTCTCATACAGAAATTTATTGACTTTCTAAACATTTTTTTAATGAAATAGATTTCCTAAATACATTTTCATATGGTAAGTCATTAATATCTTCTGAAGAGTACATTAAAACATGGATTCAAAGTCAATGTCTTTCATTATATTTTAATTTCACATTTTTTTTTGTTTCTTTTTTTAAATACACTGATTATCAAGTAGAAAACACAACTAATGTCACACAACAGGAATTGGTAAGTGAAATATATTACTTGAAGATTCGATATTTAAATAGATTAATATTTTTTAAATATAAAAGGATGATAAAGCAACGAAAACATCAACTGCGAACAACAACAAACAATTGTAAGAGAGAATAATGTTTTTTACTAAAAATTAGTTTCATTTTTATATTATTACAGATCATGCTTTCGAAAATTTTTGTTTCGTCTATGGTCATTTATGAGAAAATCATAAGCAAAATCATGTTTTTTCTTGATCATAAAATATTGTTATACTTTTTTTTATTATGATATTCTTTATAAAATATAAGCTATAATTGTTAAACCTGATAAAAATATTTGGAATGGTCAAACATACAATGGAATAAAGATGTCATAAGATATTCATCCACCTTTGAGTAAGATCGAATAATTACAGATGCATGAGATATGGCCGGTTCCGATTCGAAAACTCCAAAAAATGGTAGAAACTTGGAAGTAGGAAGCCGGTGATTAGATTCGGTGATCGGATTAATTCAGTTCCTGTCAGCAATCAGATACGATTATTGAATTCTTATTTCCAAGTTGCTACCATTTTCCGGAGCCTTTCATCTGGAAACGGTGTCTTTCTTGTAAATTTCAGTCGGAAATTCACGGCTCTGTGCGCTCGAATCATTGATCTGAGATATTATGATTATTATAAAGTATTGTCATTCAGCATAATGCATAACGAAGTTATGAAATCATCATGTTGCCTACACACAACACTTATATAAAAAGATTAAATTTTTAAATTCAAATAATGAACATGTAAAGGTTAAAATATAATTATTATTATTCTTTAAACAATGCTACACTATGGAAAACGCCTCACAATAACTGTGCAGTTACCAAAATTGAAATAAATCGGACAGTCTGCCTGCACTACTTGAAATTGACCATTACATTCATTTTGATATCATATGCAATAACTCCCCTTGGTATATCGACGGTTTGAAAAAAATATTGTATAATAAATGCGTCGAATCAAAATGGGTAAATATTTTTTAACCTTGTCGTAACTGACAAAAATAATTCATCATTGATTCACTCAAATGTTGACAGATCTCAGTCGTCCGCACTATCCACGTAGCATTTTTGTTCGCACTAGTGGTGATAGTTCTTACGACTTTCGGTTCCAATCATAAACAATTGCAGACAGTGTTACCTATCCAAATTCGAAATATTTATTAGAAGGAATTCAAACTAACTGAGAAGAAAACAGTTTCAGATATATTTTACTACTAAACGTTTTTAGCAGCGCCATGTGTAATAAACATTTATCTCATAATTGAAACCGATTTGGGTTCTGTGTAGCTAGTGTAGACGGCTCAGACACATCATTATGAGTGAAGTATCTCGAAATCGACTCAATTTTGTTAGTTTTAACAGACATGAAAAGTGTTCACCCGTTTTAAAACAATATATATTATTATAGAATACTTTCAAGATAATATTCGCGGCATAGACAATATTACACCGATTGGTATACCGGCGGTAGTTTCTTGGTAGTTATCACATTGGTAATAAATGTTGCTTTTATTAGTTTATTCTTTTTTTTGTCATAAGGTAAATTTTGTAATTGTTACTAGGATAGCAATATTCACAGTTCGATGAATGTTCTCTACAAATACTTCATTCGTTCTACATAATTCTATTAAGCTACGACTATACACATGAACACGTGACTGCAAACACACACATTCACAAACGCATTTTATTTCATATGACCCTCTCTTCAGTCGAGGGAATAAGGTACTACATATATCAATAAGACACATTATATTAAATGTAATCAAAGTAAATACATGCTTGTATGAAAGAAATGTATCTTGTTCTGGGTAAAGTGTTTTATAAGTTTCAATAAATGTATTCCTATTGAGTTTACCCGTTGGATATTTACGAATAAATTCCTATATTAAAAAAACAAATACATCAACTTTCAAGGTCATAACATACTGCATGCTATAGTTTGGTTTCTGTTTATCATATAGGACAAAAAGGTCAAGATTATTTCTAAAATATTATATAAAAGATAAATTTACCTTTATAACTTAACTTTGAAGTTGTTCTGATCATGGTTAATTCTGGAATATATTTCAATATAACATATCATCGAATATTTTTTTAAAAAGAACAAACCTTTCTAAGTTAAATGCGTTGAATTTCATTCTTTTCGAGTTCGTTTTTTTGTCCATTTTTCTAGTCGATAATATTTATTGAAAAGTTAAATTTAAAATCTGAAACAATTAGGTATTATTTATATATACTGTCTTGTATCTTCGTGAACCTTCGACTTCTACCATGTGTCACACTAAACTAGTCACAGAGTGTTTGGTTATTTATAGTGAATACTCACATTTGTGAATAATAGGCATATTCAACGACGCGTGGATCAACAAAATTCGGGTAAAATCAAACCGAAAGAGAGAGAAGATTAATCGATATGCTTCATTAATCGGATGAGTAATAAACAAAAACAAGAGAAAGAGATAGAATAATAAACATACGTAATTATGCATTTGCGTCAAAGCTGTTACAAAAATATATTTTCACGAACTGTAGACAGGCACAATGATTTTATTATTAATAAAAAAATTACATAAGTTTTCTATTATAATTCAAAAAAATGTAATGTTGATATATTATCTGTAACAATTCAAAATATAATTTAGCTGAAAAATCCAAAACAACTCTGTCGTTAATCTTATAATTGATCATATCATCAAAAACTTCATTGATATCGTTTTCGCACTTTGTATGTGATTTTATGAAGTTTTACTAGTTGTAAAGCTTCGCGTAGATCTTGTCGTTTACCAACAAGACTTCCGACTAATACAACTCGATTCGCAACACAATCAATAATTGGTCAGGACATTTTAGCATTAGGTAATGCTACAACTATGACATAACCATCACGTCTAACTGATTTAAATGTTTCATCATAGACTTCAATTAAAGGAACAGTGGCAATTGCTGCTTGAACACCACCACCTATTGTGGTTATTTGAATCTATTCACTATACTTATCACTAGGACTATCATAAACTAAAAAGAAATTAGACAAATTCGGGATAAAAAATCTCAAACAAGTTTTGATCAATCTGAATCACTGTTTCCGTAAGATGTTTACATTAATGAATTCAAAAAAAAACTGATATTTACCTTCTTCTGCTACCATATCTTTAGCCAGTTTGACAGCAGTCTAGAAACAGAGAAGACACACTTTCTACCAACATCCCACTTTACTCACAAAAATTACACTAGATTCAATACTTTAATTCGAATTTATCTAATCTCTGTCGAAATATAAGTGATATATTATTAGTGAGAAAGAAACAGTTTTAAACAATAATATTTCGATCGCATCATTCTTTAAAACTATAATGTTTTACGCTGCCAAATTCTGAATCTTTCTTTATCATTTGGTGCAACGATAACCAATACTCTCAATCCTATTGCTACAGCATAGCTAATTGCAAGAGATCCTAAGAAAAAAATATATCATTTCATCTGTTAAATGATGGAGAAGTTGCATGACTTACTCAAAACCACCGATGCCAATAATCGATACGCATTCACCAAGTCATGCTTGAGAAACTTTCAGAGCTTTGTAAACAGTAACACTGGCACAAAAGAGTGGTGCTGATGTGAACGGATGCAGACTTTCAGAAAGTTTAACAGCAAAATTAGCATCCATTAAAGTATATTCTGTAAAACATTCATCAATTGAAAAATTGAATTTCTTTGATTGCCACAGAGTGCTTCACGTTCAATCAAACAATATTCACAATGAAGACAAGGTTTTTGAATCCAAGAAATATCAACAATATCGCCTTTTCGTTTTACATAATCACCAACATTCGAACCTAATTCAACTATTTCACCAATACCTTCATGACCCACAATTCTTGTTTAAGAAGGTCGAATATCCCAATCTTTCAAAAATAAAATATAATTCGAATATAATCAATCTATTATTTTTCACCTCCTTTAGTCAAATGTAAATCGAAATGACATACACCACAAGCAATATTGTCGACTAAAACATCCATAGGTCCTAATTGAGGAATTGGCAGTTGTTTAATCTCGAAAGGTTCTGAATAACTTATTACAACAGCAACTTTCATCATCTTTAAACTTTCAAAAAACAAATATTACACAAAAACAATGTGTGTTTGATCGACTCTTGTGCTTTCTCTTTCATATTTTTATATATGTTTGATTAGTTTTTTTGTTCTGTTCGAAGATGAAAATACATATAAAACAATAGAACACTCGTTCACTGTTATGATATTGATTGAGATAAATATAATCACATGTTTGTTCGTCGTTTTAATGATCAGATAATTATAGATTTGATGAAAGACATAAATTTTTTATTTATAACAAAAAGTGAATATCTAACAAAGAAAATGTAATATACGTTTTTTTGCTTTTCAAGTATGTTATTCATACCGTGTTTACAATACCTTATTTTACTCACTGATCGATCTCCAAGATTTCCATTAACTATCGAAAATTTTTCTGTTTCAGTGAACTAGTATAATTGTATCCTTCAATAATTATAAATAAGATCTGTAAATAAATGAAAGGAACTTTCTTTTGTTTGTCTCTGAAAGTATGACAATAATGATTATCAATTTAAGTATTAACTAACAGAACTCAATGTATGCAGTATTCACAATATTATAAATATCAACATTTCAATCAATTATAACTTCATAATAAAATAAGTGCAAAAAAGGTCAAAAATTAACTCTTTAAATCAGAATATGATTCAATTCTTCTAAATAATATATAATGACAAGCTATTAAATGTTGTATAAATATGATTGTCAAATAATTGCAACAATCATTGACTTATTATATTTATAACTGATGTATTTAAGTTAAAAGAAACTTCTCGATCCTTTCCAAATATAAACACATTTTCTTGTTTGAAACTCAATAAATTTAGTGAACATGAATCTGAACAAACATCAACATGATAAATCAAAAAACGATCAATAATATTTAATAATAGTAATCTACCGATCAGAGGTGAGCACTGGGCAATTTTTTTCTATCCTGTTGTCCTACCTCGTCCTGGACCGTGGTAGAACAGGACAAAAATTTTAGCTTCGTTCTGTCCTGTAACGACAAATTCCAATGATAACGATAGAGAACTCTTTTCTATCTCTTTTTCATATTCATTGAAGAAGTATACTAAATTTGAATCATTTGTCAAAATATTGTCATCAATATGAAAATGAGATAACATTTTATCAAAATTTCGATTAATTGACAAATATAGATAAGCAGAAATTAGCTTAAAACTAACTATTTCCTGTACTCGATGTTATTAGACAATCTTCATTGTTTTCAATGAGAAAATATTGATATTCTCTTAATCAATAGAACAATCTCCAAGAAACTATTATTATTAATTACAAATTGGAAGATTTGGTTCCCGTTTATGAATTCTATAGCACATGGAATAGTTAGTTAGCACAATTGTATGTATGAAAAAGTGTTAATCGATTAATACATTTGGTTTTCTGAATTTTTTAAAACTATATATAAAAGAAATTTCAAATTTTTTTTCAATAAGAATTATCTTTCGCTGATTCTTATTTCATATAAAAACATTCCATCATCTCTGTATATTATGATTTGCTTTCTCAGTCAAACGATTGTAGAAAAACAGTACAATACGAAAGAAAAAATTCTTTATTCTTTGTATTAATGTCATATTCCTTTAAATGAATTATGTATTCATGGATAATAATATGTCAGAAATAATTCAAAGTTGTATGAAAATTATTTTTTGAATAAAAAGAATAACTTTCAATAGTTGCTTGTTATTAATAGTTAAAATATTTACTCAAATCGATTTTACATTTTATTATGGCTAAAATTATAATAATGATGATCGTGGTAATCACAATTGTCGACTAAGGAATTAACTACAGCAATAAATCAGATCTGAAAATATATTCTTTCTCTTCTAGTCATATCTAGGAAAATGAATTAAAATTAATAAAAAATTTAAAGAGTAGATTATAAACCAATTTCTTTTCCTGATACAAATTTGTATCATATTAGAATATCGATTATACATTAAATGCAATCAGTAAATTAGTATGTTCTAAATTATCAATTCCATATATCACTTGAAAAAAATTAATATTAAAGATTTTTGAAACTTATAATATCAAACCAAACAAAGTTAACAATGCTTTTATTCTATTCACATATATAAAGAATTCGGAATAATAAAATTTTCTAAGATAGTTAATGTATTATTAGAGCCAGATTTGAATTGAATAGGGAGAACATCGTAGTCGATAAAGTCAACTAAGTAGTTGTTGACGTAAATTCCATCGAATTAGATGTGGAAAACAGGGTGTATCAGATGGAAGCCACTGAACAAAGTTTATTTGAAGTGAAACAAGTTGTTACAAATGATCGACAAGGAAATAAATCAGATTAACAATACATTTTGTAGATTCATTTTCACCATCAACAAGACATGATGGTTTTCAAGTCCATTCACTATATGAATCATAGATATTAAACGATATGTTTTTCAAATTAAATAATCGATTACAGAGAAGTGTGCAAAAATGTTGAGCATGATACAAAAGTGAAAGAAAATAATCAATCAAAACAGAATTTTCAAATAACTCAATAACAAAGGAATCTTTTTTCAATAAAACTACCTACTTGTTCATTGACACGAGTTCCAAGATTATCAGTGTTACAGAATATCGTGCCGGGCAAAACATCACTATCATCCATTTGTAGTATATGTACATTATAAGCCTTTCGTGCCGTCATCGACTCTAATTTTTGTTAGTAGTGTTCATGAAATTAATGCTGATATGGAACTTCTACAATTATCCAAATCTAAATGAGAAATTTTGCCTGTAAAACCATTGATGAATAATTCATTAGCATATAAAAACAAATTTATTGGATTAACCAACTTTTTCAAAGATCTAAATAGAAAGCAGAGAAGATATTTATACATCTTTTATAAAAGCAAAATATTTTCTACATAAAGTTGCAGATAGGAAGTAAACACGTGTATTGAAATGATTCTGTCATTGTATGGTAAAGTGTATACCATAAAAAAATGATAATTATGATCAATATTCAAGCTATCACATTCTTGGGTAAACACTCTCGGATGTTGTGGATCAGTAAATGGAACTTTAGAAAATGAATTGAAAATTATTTTTTCTTCTAAATCGTCCTCGATATTGAATAATATATTAAGATTATACGTTGCCAATGGTTTGAGTCTATCGATAAAAAATTGTTGAATAATGTCACCTGATGTAATCCATGGATCAAAGATTGATGTATATGTTTTCAACTTTAGTGAAAAATGCCTAGAGTTGACCAAACATAGACGAAAAGAGCGCAATAGCTCGATGAAAGCTAGTATTATTCGCACCGTCTATGAGTAGACGAAATAGATATACAAGACGAATATCAACAGTGACAGGCATTCTAAAAATTTTTATATTATGGATACTTTTACAGATCACAGCAAGTTACTTACGCATTTGTGTTAAATCTAGCGTTCTCATTTACCTCTTCGCCATTTACACCAAGAGAAAGATTTTCAATAAACGGTATACGCGATAATAAACGTTTTAAAAAATATGATGTGTTCATATTAATAGTCAATGTACGAAGATACATTGTATTTGATAAATTTGGTAAACTCATTAGCGGTGCTCCTGAATATTTCTCTATTTGATATAGATTTTCATGATAAACATTAAATGGAAGCCGACAAATTGCTAGAAGTGGCAGTTGCGAACATACCTTTAATAAATATAAAAAAATTATATTTTAAGCATCATAATATTATAAGATTATTTATCACAAGATAAATCTAAAATTCATTCCGTGTGAGGAAGGTTAATGAAGTCATAGTTTAAAACAAATCTCTTCTTTAAATGATGATTAAGTTTTATTTATTTTAACATTTTTGACGTTTTGGCACGACAATGTGTCCTTCGTCAGAAAATAAAAATGATCAAAGTTTACAGAAAATTAGAAAATATATCGTTTTTTTTCTTTCGTTCTTCAGTTTGAATAACATAATAGTGATACGGACGAAGATGAAAGATAATCTTTTCTTACCAGTATTACCGGCTTGGCCATGTCACTATTAAATGTTATTCAAACTGAAGAACGAAAGAAAAAAAAAGATATATATTTTATAATTTTGATCATTTCTATTTTTTGACGAAGGACAAATTGTCGTACCAAAACGTCAAAAATGTTAAAATGAATAAAACTTAATCATCATTGAAGGAAGAGATTTGTTTTAAACTATGAATAAATCTAAAATTTCCTAATGAATTGAAGGAATAATTATCTTCTTACCTTAGTTAAATAAACTTCTTCAATTTGAAGATAATTGAATGGATTCGATACTATAATATCAACTAATAAAGTGTGTAATTGTTTTATTAAATGATTTCGAAATAATTTATCAAAGTCATGAGGTTTAATATCGATCAGATGAAGACGTTGAAGTAATGTTGTCTGATGATATCCAAGGGATGATGAAACGAGTGATCATCCACCAATCATATTGATGAGTATTACATGTAAAGAGATAAGCCGACTTCCTATCAATTTCAAGACATTTTGGCAAATATCGTTGAACATCGATAATGAGATCGTTGAATCATCAATATCAATGTGCCACAAATGTTCACAGATAATAATTCTTGATAAATGTTTATTAATGGATAAAAATGATTGAAGAATATTAACAGAAGACAAATATCAGAAAATTTCAAAGAAAACATCAACAGGCAAAGATTGAAACATGCTGACTATCATTTTTTTGTCTCTTGTTCATTCAATCGCATTGAAACTAGCCGGATAGCACATGACATTCATGGAACCCTTCCGTCCGCCAGTCGTGAATTACCTCAATCAATCCACAGAATATCCGACCGCTATACTTAGCAACCAACACTATACTTGAAAACGTCAAATCGAATTCAAAACCCAAAATCGATTGGCAGACCCTAAAAGCATCTTTAAATGTCAATAGTCTATACAGCTAGTTGAGAGAAATGATATGAATACCTAAATAGAACCCGTCTCAAACCTGTAGAATGATGTTAACACCTGAAGACAAGCCCTGCAAAAACCTGCAGAAATTCATAAATGTACTAATATTATTTATACTAAGATCATCACTAAAAAAATTACTGCTAAACCGCTGAATGGCGTCCATCGATGCAGCTCATTCAGATGTCGGGGAAAATTATGTTCGAGCCTTTAAAGAACCCGTCTGAGACTCGCAGAAATTCGTATATATTGTAGCATTGGTGATACCAACTTCATTACAGAAAATTCAATTCAATTCAAGTGATGAGTTGCATTGAATTGAGTCTAATTTTTGTTTGTAATAATTTCTTGATGAGAAAAAATCAACATATTAAGCGAGAATATTAACACTCAGTTATTTAAGTTATAATTATTGTATTGTATGCATTCATTCTATTACTTTCATATCATCGTTACTAATACAGCCATTTTCAAAATCTTTTTTTGTGTTCCTCTTTAGTGGTGGTTTATGAATTTTACGATATCTATTGGTTGACACATGGTCCAGTGGAATCGCTACTTTCTTCCGACTAGATGATCAGGTTCGGCTAGTTTCACAGCAATCGTTATCGTATTATATTTTATGAAAAGTCTTTTCACTCTTTTCTTTTTGTAATCTGACATTGATAAAATGTTGTCAGATTTACTAACATCTCTTTCATCTAATCCATATTTTGGTGCTGGTGCTGGTCTCATTGGTATAGGCACAGCATTAGCTATACTTCGTCGTTCATCTCAATATGGTTTAATATTTTTTCGTCGTCAATTTATGATAACTCTTGAAGTACCAAATAATGATATAAGTTATAGTTGGTTATTACAATGGATATCCCATCAATTACGTGATTCAAGTCGTCATTTAAGTGCTCGTACAACATTAATTAAAAATGATGATCCAGCATCACGTATTCACGCATCATATACATTTGTTCCATCGGTTGGTACACACTATTTTCGTTATAGAGGAAAATTTATTAAAGTTGAACGTACACGTGAACAAATGATTAATTCCGGTGTACCATTTGAATCGGTACAATTAACTGCATTTGGACAAGATCGACAAATTTATATTGATATGTTAGAAAAAGCTCGTGATGCTGCATTATTAGCTAATGAAGGCAAAACACTTGTTTATGTTCCAACAAGTGAGTTAAAGACAAATTTAACATCAATAACAAAATTAGTTTAGTTAATGACTGGCGTCTATTTGGTCATCCAAGACGAAAACGACCATTGAATTCAGTTATACTGGATAAAGGAATTCTTGAAAGTTTAATAAATGATGTTGAACATTTTCTTTCCAATCCAGCATGGTATATCGATCGTGGTATACCTTATCGACGTGGCTATCTCCTATATGGACCGCCGGGTTCAGGAAAAACATCAGCTATTATGGCTCTTGCAGGTTTTTAATTTAAATAACGAATAATTGGAAATTTTTTAGACAAAATGTTTGTTTACTTTTGACTTACGACTAAGTTTTCATTCAAGATTAGTGAAAGACTTAGTGAACTACCTGAGAAATTATTTTTATTTGTGAGTCAATAGATTTTTGTTCACCCTATAAGTTCCTTTTTGGAACATGAAAAAAAAATTTGTTGAATTCCATCGTTTTCTAGAGTGGACACTTTTTCACACAATGTGATATTAACCTAAGCGATAGTTTTTATTCAAATGAAGTTATAGGCATTTTTTCAAGCGCTTTTTCAAAAATGAGTTCTTAAGAAAAATGAAAACTGAACTGCTTTGTCGAAAAATAAAGTGCATAGCGTATGGGATAGTTCCTGATGTACAAGCTGATAGATATACAAAAATAAAGATCCAAACTTTTCAAAGATTATTTCATTACTCTCGAACAAAACCTGAGATAAAATTTCTAAGCACATAAAATTCTGGTCTTAACTCATCATTTTTGATTTGCCGAAAATACTTTCTTACAAGTCAAAAATGAACAAACATTTCGTCTAAAAATGTTTCGATTATCCGTTACATTCGATTTGATTATGAAATTATTAATTTTAGGACATTTTGATTTAAGTATTAGTACACTTAATTTAAGTCAAGGTACAATGACTGATGATCGTCTTCAACAATTATTAAGTACTGTACCTGAAGAAAGTATTATTTTATTAGAAGATATTGATGCAGCAACAGTTGGTAGACATTATGAAAAAGATGGTTAATAGTTTAATTAATTTTTCAAATGAAATAATCGAAATTTACTCTTTTCCTTTCCCTAATAGATGCTATACGGTATCAAGGCATGAAACCATTAACATTGAGCGGATTATTAAATGCACTTGATGGAGTTATTTCAACTGAAGGTAGAATTATTTTTATGACAACTAATTTTATTGAACGGTATGATTTATTTTTTTTTTGTGTTTAAGGCCTTCTCCTTCAAAAAAAAATCGATTTTTCTCAAAAAGAAAAGACATTTTTTGAGATAAACATATAGCCATGACCGCGAAGAGATCAAGTTTAATAACTCATAAGAACAACTTTCAATTTTATAGAATTTCTTTAGAAGATTCCAGACGAATTTTTAATTGGTATATAGTATGACTATATTTTTGATGCTCATATCAAAAAGTTCATCAAGTAAATATACCAATCGAATGTTCGCACTCTTTTCTCGACATAAGTTTTTCCACAAATTGCAGAATTCCAAAAGAAGGTTCCTTTCGAAAGTCTATATTCTAGTGATCTGCTGTTTGTTTTTATTCCATTGATAGATACATTCTCTTTCGAATTAGGGAAAGAAATATTGTATATAAAAGCAACTATGAGTTTTCTGGCAAGCATTTCTTAAGATTTTCGGAGCTTGACAATTTGAGGATATCATTAGAAGCCGTAATGAGTTCTCTTTCACATAAAACTAGCTTGAGTACTGTAGCTTGAAGTGTATTTAAAGAAAACATGTATACATGAAAGCTCTATTTTGCACTATAACAATTGAATAGTGACGTTTGAAGCAGTGAAAATGTTTTTAGCAGTGTACTTTCATTAGTCGAATATCTTCAGAAAGTTTGATGAAAATTCCATGCAGTATATCGAAAATCGATTTTGTAAAGGGAAGAGGGGACGATGAGGCTTTAATAAATAATCAATTTTTTCCTTTTAGTCTTGATCCAGCGTTGATTCGTCCAGGTCGAGTTGATTATAAACACTACATAGGTCCTTTAACAGCTTATCAAGTTGAACGTATGCTAATTCGTTTCTATCCTCAATCAACTCGTAATGAAATTGATCAATTTTTAAATGAAATAGAACGTTTAACAGATAATTATTCAAAACAATTAAGTGCAGCACAATTACAAGGATTTTTTATGTATTATAAAGATTCTATAAAACAGGTTTTTGATAATATTGATCAATTGTATTGTTTATAATTGAAATAAAATTTATTAACGAAGACATGAAATTAAAAGACGAATACAACAACCTTTTCTTTGTGTACCTTTTACACCATTAACATCAAAATGAACATGTTTATGTTCATCAATTCGATATTCTCCTATAGGCAAATATATTTCCCACATTGTTAAAAAGTCTATTGGAATAAAATCATGTTTATATGCATAATCAACAATTACGTCTGTTTGATTGACAATAATATGCTAAAAATGAAATCAAAGAAAACGATTAGTAAAAGTTTAATTGTATTTGATTGAAAATTTTTAACTGTAATAGAAGCATTAAATGCAATTGATTTATCAGGTTGTATCATTGTAAGTAATTCAACACAATGACCAATTATATTTCTATGTGTAACAATAATTTCAAATGTTGTTCTTGCATTTTTAATTGATTTTTTCTTTAAACGAAAATAATCACGTTTTAATGCATGCCAATTACCTCAAATGATTAAAATAGAAATAAAATCATACAATATTGATTTTTTAATTAGTCGACAACTTTTAAAAAAACATATATATATATTCCTGGAAAAAATTAGTTCTAATCGAATTTTTAAAGTCTATTTTTACAATAAAAACACATTAAAAAAATAATATTTATACATTTTAAAAGCGATCGGAGTTTTCTATGACCCTGAATATTTATGTTTTAATTTACTCCTACTCTTTGCAAAATAAATCAACTGCAATGAAAGCGCATCCTCCTGGTTAGATTACTATGAACTGAATTTTGTCATTGTCTATTCAATAAATGTTTTAAATTTATCATTACTACAGAAATAAGGAGTAGTGTCACATATCCAAGATTTTGGAGATGCCACCGCATATCCCGTGGGAGATGCCGCATCTCCAGCGGGAGACGCGGCACCCACACTCGGGAGATGAGGTCATTCACCACTAGAGATGTAAGATCTCCTTTAGAGAGACGCATCCCCCACACCCACACTCGCATCTCTCGCGCGAGATGCGGCATCTCCCGCAGGAGATATGGTGGCATCTCCAAAATCTTGGATATGTGACACTGCTGGAAATAAGAGTCATCTTCGATTGGAGGCATTCTTAATTGGTACAAATCCTTAGTATGAGAAACTTCCCGCATTCGTCACCTCGCTTTTGTCGCTAACTAACTGGTGAAGAAATATTAATAAGATATTTTATTAAATCAATGGTCATCTGACATTTACTTTATTGAATTCATATATTATCTACACTTGCTAGAAAGTAAGGACCTGTGAATCATTTCAGATTCATGTCGAAAAGTGTAGTTTTTCTCGGATCTACAAAAAACGTGGACCCGCAGCTCCCTACTAGCAAGTTCCATACCAGTAAGCTTACCATTGGCATATTTTTTACAATTGAATCTCAAGCATTGAAAGGTGTAGCAATGCGTAAGTCTATAGATCTTTTATAAACCCACACACATACTTGTATGCACACCTGTTAGATATTGATAGGAAAATTAAGGTGATAATTGAATATTAACTGAAATTAATTAAAGACAAATGTAAAGGAGACGAATTTAGAAATGGCAATTTTCCTATAGGTTAGTGATTAGATATTTTGATACACTTTGAAACTCCTTTTTATTCTGTATATTAATCTATTGTCTTAAATGCTATTTTTGAAATAATAATCCAATCGCAGCCTATATATTTTTCTCTTGTCTTACATTTAAATTCTTATGAATAATATGAGTATTACATAGATAAACTCATTGAAAAACCTTTCAAAACTGCTTTTTATGTTATCACTTTGTTTTTTATTTCAAGTTTAGTATTCTTATGAAATAGATTTTTCAAAATATAACTACATATGCTGATAAAGTTCAGAATTCTCTATCATCCAAAACTTTCGAAACAGAAAAAACAAGAAGATTGTTGAATAATGATGATAAATTTTAAAAGAATATTGCAGGAGACAATAACAAAATTCAGTTTATGGGAGTCTGACGATAAGGATGCTTTTATTGGAATTGATATGGTTTTTGTTAGTTAGTAGGTCCAAGTTAAAACATGAATGTATAGAGTCATAAAAAAGACTCCGAGCACTTTCAGAATATATAAGTTTTATTTTTTTTAATGTGTTTTTATGGTGAGACTAGATTTAAAAAATCAACTAAAACTAATTTTCGTTTCCAAGAATATGCATATGACCTTACTTGAAGTTATAATTTCCTATCTTTGAGCTAAATTAATAAACAACTAAAGCTGATTTTCTCAATAATTAGAAATTGTTCCGAGTAACCTCTATATTTTTCTCATATTCGAGTCTCATTTTTCTAGATAAAAATTTTAAGGGCAAACCATTTTGTTTTTCAAGGTCAACTTGCAAACATGATTTGTTTTTATCTATGAAATATCAATATTAAACTTATTTTTTTCTTCTTCTTATCTGATTCATTTTGTTTACCTGTTTTTGAAAGCAATGAAAAATAAGAAATATTTATTAGTGCGTTCTTTATCAAATTATGATCAAATGTTACGTTATGACGTTAATTACCTTCAAGTAAAAAAGTAAATAATAAATTATGTTCTCGAAAATCAGTATCAATTGAAAAATATTCAATATCAATTTTTTTCATTAATTTTAATTGTTTATAAATAATTGTTGCTGTTTCACGTGTTCGAATCACTAGAAAAAATGTGATAAAAAAAAAATCATTTTAAAAAATTTTTCTTATTGTTTTTATTTTTTATTAAATTCATTTTACTATCTGAATGTGTTAATGAATCGAATAAAACATTATCGGGTAATTGTGATATAAGAAAATTAGCTGCATACCAAGCTTGTTTTTGTCCTCGACCAGTTAAATGTCCATCGGATTGTGTTCGTTCTCGTTGATATTGACCATGACGAACAAGAAATAAATGACGAACTGGTTTATTATAACTTTCACTTAATTCAGATTGACTATCATTCGTAGAACTTTTATTTGATATACTCGAACTATCAGTTGTTAGTGTTGTTTCTGTGTTAGTATTTGTATTAGCACACAATTTACGTCGTTTGACTATTAATGACATTATGGAAGAGATGAAAAAAAAATACTCAGCGCCTTTTTTATTTATTATTTTTATTTAGAAAAAAACAAAAGTCAAAAATAAGAAAAGAATATATTTAATTTGAATGAGTATTTTCAATATAATTATCATGTGGTACTATTCCTAAATCGCCACGACAATAATGAGTGTTTGTTTTTGTTAATGAATCTTGATGACTAATTAAAGAAAAATATGTTCAAGATAGTTTATTGATGAATATTTATATACGCACATGCGATGCAGATCGAGTCGTGACCCTGGAAAAATTCCTTTTAGAAAAGGTGACTTTTTTTGTAATGTTAATGCAGTTCGACCCAAATGGTGTGAAGTTAAAAGAAGTGATAATAATTGTTCAAGCATATCATTACGTTTTTCAATTTTTAATGCTTCATTATTATCATCTTGAGACTAAATATATGCCAACAAAATATTAATTAAATTCATCACCATATGTTAATGCAGATGAAATTATTCTTTGTTTCGTTCGACTTTCTCATAGATATACGTATATTAGCATCCAATATCATATACATCTAGACCAATCTAGGATCTTACAATGGACGCGTCCAATTTGGGATCCGACATAAGTCAGATATTAATCTAGGGTATTCTCGGATTGGTCAGGTACAACACATCCAATCTAAGATTTGCTTGGAAACTTAAGACGAATCTCCGATCGATCTAGGCCAATGGCATATTAAAATGTATTGAATAAAAACTGAAATAGAAAAATATGGATGAGTGTGGGTGTGAAAAGGAGGCAAAGGGAACAACTAAATTCACACCCACACCCTCAAATTTCATATGTCATCGTTTACTTTTGTTTCAATGTAATATGTTAGTTGATTTGAGCTTCGCCCAGATGAATCCGACATTTGCTTGAAACTTTCAGGCGAATCTTAGATTGAACGTATTGCAACTGATCAATTCGAAAATGGTCTGAATTAATTAATGTCCATCCAATGTCGAATTCCATATAGAACGCCAACATATGTATATATTTATCGTGAGAGGAAAAAGGTGCTATATATATTTTCTACTTTGCTAATTAATTATAGTTGAATTGTATGTTTTATTATTTGTATCTTGTGTTAAATAAATTCCTCATGTGATTATCATGATTCTAGATTTGAAAATTGTTCCAAAAAGACTCATTTTTACTGTGCAACAATATTACAATTGTTCAATAAATTCGAGATGCACATTTATTTTCCATTGTATAAGAATATCATATATATTCTTTCTTTAATAATTAAAATCAAATGATTTATATATCACGACAAGGACAACACATATTCTCTAGTAGTCTACATAGCGTGACACTTGACATTGATTATACATCTAACCGATCGTCTTATTTTCCTAATATTTCAAGATAGTTTCAATAGATTGAGTTGCAGTTTTTGTCAAAATATAGGACCATTTTCATGGTTTATTTGCTCAAAATATCAATTTTCCATATCACATATTTACTCTGTGAGACAGGAAATATTAAAAAAGATGTACTTTTCTATCACTCAAAATTTATCATACATCACAAGCACACGACTGCATATCGAACTTCGGATTTTGATTTTTTCAATGAAAAGACACATTTGTATTGTAAAAAAAAATGCAACATCTCGGTCAGAACGATAAAATACGAGACTTTTAATATTAATATACTCTTATATTTTGTGTGTGTTGCATAATCAATTGTAAACGACGGCGAGGTGTATCATTTTCAGTATTTCAAGTTTGACATAGAAAGCTGATATTTTGAGCAGATATACTTTGAAAGCAGGGCTACGTTTTGACAAAAATTGCAATACAGTATATTGAAACTACATCAAAACATTAGAAAAACAAGGCAATCGATTAGGTGTATGATTCATTTCGAGAATCACTATCAAGTGATCGAAGCCGCAGTAACATTTCGTTGTAGATTACTTATACTGTTCTGTTTTTCGTGTCCAATAGAAATACTCATGAAATGTCGCTTTTTGTTTCGATAATTATTTCAGGGTTCAATAAATGTTCATAATCTATACATTCTATACACAACTTCTTCTTTTTAATTAAAAACAAATTATTTCTTGAAATTAGAATTTATTCAAGACATATTTTCGATAATATTTCAAAAGTATCATTCAACAATCGATACAATAAAAATAAATAATTTGACACCTTTATTCTCTGATTGGTCCATATTGCAGTAAAACAGATTCGGTTTTCTTCAACCTCCGTAGTCGACAACACATCCTTGTCTCGTGACAGTACATATATAACATACTTTAGCGATGTTCTTTGCGTTCTCTTGCCAAATATATAGGGCAGACGATTATTATATGACAACTCTATATATAATATAGTGTTCTACATCAAGAAATATTTTCTTCATACCGAAAAAAAGTCTTTAAATTTATGTCTAGGTCGAAAAAGTATTTTAAGTAGATCTACAATTGCTGCTACCAGTTTTCCTCATCGATAAGGTATTTAAACTACTTTTAAATACAAGGATGTTAGAAATTCTTAATTTTAGAAAATTTTTGTTTTTGATTTTTATTTAGTGTGTGTCGTTGAATGTAATTTATCAAGTCACTTATGAAAAACTACTTTTCAGATTTTTCGAAAGAAGTTTTTCTAGAAAATATTGCAAAAAAGACCAAATTCTAAATATCATGATTAGAGTCGTCCTTTATTGCACATATGTAAACAATTTATTTTTTTTTTCATTTTTTAGAGTACTATAAAGATTATGTCCTAATACTGCAGACAAAAAAAACTGATGTACCTCAGACTTTTTTCGTCAGTTTTGATGGCATTATTATCACGAAATAATCCTTATAATATTTTACAAAAGGAAAAAAAAATATTTATATGTGCGATAACAGACGAATCTAATAATGATAGTCACAATTTAGTCTTTGTTTCAGTATTTTCAGGAAAAACTTATTTCGAAAAATCTGAAAAGTAGTTTTTCATAGGTAATTCAATATGCTCTATCCAATGGCATTAAGTAAATCGAAAAAGAAAATTGCTAAAATTTTGAATATCCACTACCCTACCTGAACAACATCAGTAATTGATATTGCTGCTTGTTCAATAATATTTTTTAATAAATTATTTTCTTCTTTTAAATTTTTTATTTCAATAGATTCATTTGTTTCTTTAAGATTATTTTCTTCATTAAAAAGCATTTTTGTTCTAAGAAAATATAATAATTAAATCTACAATATTATTTGAAACTTACGTTTCTTTTTCGATTGTTTCTTTAGGTACAAAAATTTCATTAACAATGTTTTTTTGTTCTTTACATTCTTTTAATTTCTTCGATAACATTCGAATAATCTATAAATTAAAATAAAAAAAGAATTGTTTTTCTTTTCTGTATCTAAACATACATTTTCAGTTGCTATATATTTTTTAGCTGATTGTATTTCAACATCTTCTAAAATAGCAACTGTTCGTGTTAAATGTTGATTATCTTCCGTATATTTTTTATTGATTTCAATAGATTTTTCTAATTGATTTGATAAATAATCAATTTGATTATTTAAATAGAAATTTTCATGTATAGCACGTTTAATTGTATTTGATATTTGATTTTTTGTATTATGACGAAATTCAATAGCAATATCATTTAAATATTCGATTGCTTCTTTTTTTAATCTTTAAAAATGAAAACAAAAAAAAATTTGATCAAAAAAGAATTTCCTTTTTCTGAAATAGTAAATAACTGATTTTTAAAAAACATTAAAGCTATTTCCATTTGATCTAAAGCTTTTTTATATGCATCTTCTTTCTTTAAAATTAAATCTTTTAATTCATCAATTGTTTTTTCCATTCTTTGTCGTTGATATTCAAATTCTTCTAAAGCAACTAAACGTGTTCCTAAAAAAAATAAAGAGGCGAATTATTTATTTATTTTGTCAGACAAAAAATTAAATTACTTAGTAACATATTTTCATTTTCGAGTTTTTCAATTTCTAATCGATGCTTTTCTTTAAAATTTTGTAAATTTTTTTCATATAAATCTTTTTCATAATCTTTAGCTTGTTGTAAACCAATTAAACGATCATTTAAATCAAAAACTTGTTCATTACGTAGTTCGAGTTGTTTTTTTAAATAAGATGATATATCACGTTTATCTTTAAGTAATGTTTCAAATTGATCACCATATGAACGACACATTAATTCAAGTTCATCACATTTTTTTTGATATCTGAGAAATAAAAAACAAAAATTGTTTTTATTTTCGTTCTCATAGATTTAAACATGTTTCGTGTATGTGCTCGTCGTAGTTCAACTTATGCACAAGTTTATCGATCAAGTATCGATCATCCAGAACAATTTTGGAGTGAACAAGCACAAAAAATCTTTTGGTTTAAAAGATGGCATAAAGTTTATGATGAAAATAATCTTATTAGACCTCATTGGTTTCAAGAAGGACACCTTAATATGACATATAATTGTCTTGATCGACATATTCCAAAACATGGTCATCAAACAGCTATTATACATGATTCTGCTATGACTGGAAAAGTAGCTCATGTAACATACAAAGAACTTTTGAAAGAAGTCAAAACATTGGCAAATGTTTTAAGTAAAAAATATAATGTTAAAAAAGGTGATGTTGTATTAATTTATATGCCAATGATACCTGAAGCTATTGTTGCAATGTTAGCTTGTGCTCGTATTGGTGCTATACATAATCTTGTATTTGGTGGATTTAGTGCTAATGAATTAGCAGTTAGAATTAAACATTCTGAACCTAAACTTCTTATTTCTGGTAAGTGAAAAAGAAAACTATATGATTTATTAAGGAAATCTTGTAAAATAAAAATTTTTCAATTTTTCTTCTTTTTTTGTTTTGTAAAGCTAATGTTGGTTTTGAACCTCAACGAACAATTAATTATAAAACAATTGTTGATGAAGCTATTAAAAAGAGTGGCATTACTGATGATACATTAAAATGTATTATATTCAATCGATCAGAAGAAAAGCCAGCAGATTTAACTTCTGGAAGAGATCGAGATTGGAAAGATGTTATGGATAGTGCACGTGATTATAGTGATTGTGAACCTGTTGAATCCAATCATCCTCTTTATTTACTTTATACATCAGGTTTTAAAAATTTGATTATTCATCAAAAAGAATTTTTCAACTAAACAAATTGTATTTTAAGGTACAACAGGTACACCAAAAGCTATTGTTCGTCCAACTGGTGGTTATGCTGTAGCATTACAATGGACAATGAAACATTTATATAATGTTCATCCTGGAGAAGTTTGGTGGTCTGCTGCTGATCTTGGATGGGTATGTTTGCTAGAATTTGCATTATGTTTACTTTTCTGATTTATACCGAAAATCCATATATTATTTTGACTTATCGATATAGAGTTTTTCTGTTGTTCATTATTATGATATCATCTTAACTATTTCTAGATGATCTCTTATTGAGATTCATAGTTAGATGACTGCAAAATATTTCTTTTCATGAACGAGAAATGATTATAGTCGCACTGTATCTTTTTTAAATCAATGTTTTCTTTTTTGTGGTTCTTTTATAATAGGCTCAAACTACTGTTGTTTTGAACGATCATGTCATGTTGTCTGTATTGAGCTATGGTAAACATATTCCTCTGTGAGCAGTAACATAAAAAGGAAGGGAAATAAGGAATTTGTTTTCTTCTCTTTGAAAGAAATGATAGAAAATGATTTTTCAACAGTTGTTTTATTTACTATTTGAAGAAGATCTTTGAAGAAAAGATGATCTATCTGACTGGTAATCTCTGTTTCAACTCATAGGTTGGCTTCATAGTGTTGATAAAAATCCTGAAAGGGTTCGTGCCATTAGACGTTTCTTCTAGAGTTATGATCATTCTACTGAACTTTGAGCCAGTTGCAGGATATTACGAGAGAAATTGCAGGAAAGAATTTCGGCCTGAAATTTTCTCTAATAGTAAGTCTCATGGTCCTTATGATATCCTGAAAGTTTCAGCTTAAACGGATGATTTTTTATAGGAAAATGGTTTACCTAAAATCTGGACTAGTTCTAGAGCTTTTGTGTGAAAGTAATGTGGTTTTTTGCAAACGCGTTATCTGAGAAGGATAATATCCGTTTGAGCTGAAACTTTCAGAATATCATATTTGACTATGAAACTTATTGTTAGAGAGAATTTCAGGACGAAACTTCTTCTTGCGCTCTTTCTCATGATATCCTGCAACAAGCTAAAAGTTCAGTAGAATAACCATAACTTGAGAAGAAAGGACTAATGACACAAAGTCTCTCATCCTTTTTATCTAGGCTACGAGTTCTATGTATGAGCTCAGATACAGTTTAGCAGCTGGATGAGTTTCTTCATTAGATGGTATCTTCTTTCAATTTTGAAAAACTTTCGCGTTTGCCGACTAGGTTTTCAAATAATTTTTCAAGTTATCTATTCTTCTTCTTCTCGAAACTCGAATGACTCGAATTTGATTTGAATTTTTAATAAATGAATCAAATAAAAGCAGCTCCGAAACCAGAAGTTTTCAATTTATTTCGGTTTTGATAATGGTATTGAGCAGAAGATAAACTTGCATTTCTTTCAAGTTCACTCCTAATTTTCAACATTAAAGGTCAGAAAATAGATACCTTCAGCTGTGAAATATAAAACAGAATAATATCTCTTCTCATTATCACTATAAAAAACGACTTCTTATTTTATTTATATTGAATTATTAAATATCCGTGTCAAATCTGTTTAAATGAGATTTCGAATCATAACTGTCTCCGACAGTATAGCCTTTTCTTTCTTCTATATTCTACAAGTATTCACAATTTTAAATATGACCATTCCAGTTTTTACGGAAGAATAGAATTTCGCAAATGTTGAAACGTTTCTTTCGTCGCGTGATGGTCTTCAAAGTACATTGTGACGTTAAAAGAAATGACATAGAAAAGTGTTTTTATACTTGAGACTGGAAACAATGTTTCACTTCTCATTGGGTTTCGAAACTAGGAACGTTGTCTTCTAACAATATTATTTGTTTTGAGAAATCGTGCTCTGTAAAAAAACAAACATTTTTCTATCAATGTTCAGAGTGGTTACTTCAATAGACATATTAGCGAACCACAATAATATACGAAATAGAGAGGGAGAGAGAGAGAGAGAGAATGAAGGGATGTATCAGATCGCCAACATGTATTCCTATGAAAGAAAACATGAGTGCGCATTTTATTTTCTCTTGATCAGTTTTGGTATTGTCTATTCACAATGTAAACTTCAACTAGCTCATCGATGCGTGATTCATTCATAAGGAAATTTCCTCAAACTGCAACATAAGAACCGATTAATGGTATGATGATCTTTACCGAAATTTCTTATTGTTTTTTACTCGATTCATCCTGCTTCTTTCTTGATTTTGAGTTATGGATCGCTGCGATCCTTAGTCTTCATTTGTTTTATAAAGATAAAAAATAAATATAATGTATTATTTTCTAAGGTTGTTGGTCACTCTTATGGATGTTATGGTCCATTACTAAATGGATCAACAACTATTATATATGAAGGAAAACCTATTGGTACACCAGACGCGTCAGCATTTTTCCGAATTCTTCATGATCATAAAGCTGTTAGTACATTTTGGTCTCCAACTGCACTAAGAATAATTCGTCAAAATGATCCTGACAATAAACATGCAACTAAATATCGATTGAAACATTTTCGAGCTCTATTTCTTGCCGGTGAACATTGTGATAGAGACACATTATTATGGGCAAGAGAAATATTTGCTGAAAAACCAGTTATTGATCATTATTGGCAAACAGAAACAGGAACACCTATTACAGCTGTCTGCTTAGGCCTTGAAAGACATCCAGTAAGAGAACGAATAAAAAAACTGTTTTTTCTTAAATCAATCTCAAAACTTCTTTTTTTTTTTAAGAATCTTGGTCCACCTGGTTGTGCAGGACGTCCATGTCCTGGTTATAATTTACATTTATTTTCTTCCGATCCAAAATCAGTTGAAGAAGAAGAGTCTACACATGATGAATTAGGTCGTATTGTAGTTAGACTTCCATTACCTCCAGGAAATTTTTCAACATTATGGAAAAATGATGAACTTTTTCATGAACTTTATTTTACAAGATATCCAGGTTATTATGATACAATGGATGTTGGTATACGAACAGAAGATGGATTCATTGAAACATCATCCCGTGCTGATGATGTTCTTAATGTTGCTGGACATCGTTTATCAAGTGGACATATTGAACAAGCTATTATTGAAAGTGGAAAAGTATCTGAATGTGCTGTTATCGGTTTGAAAGATGATATTAAAGGTCAACAACCATTTGCTTTTGTTGTATTAAATAAAAACGATGAAAAAGCTGAGTAAGTGAAATAAGTGATACCGCCGGATAAGATTATAAATTTGCTATCACCTCTCTCTCTTCTTAGATCTCACCTTTAATGGAATAGACAAGTAGAGTATGAAATTTCACACCTTTTTGGGCAGTTATTTTGTTTTTTGCTGAACCAAAACAGAACTTTCGTAGTCTAAATAGTCTTAGAAAGAGGATCTATCACTTTTGGATGTTTTGAATAATTACTATGGTACTCATAGTTTTTCTATTATGAACTGAATATAAACACTAATAGCACAAATCGGTGCAGTTCCTTTTTTACTCTTTAAAATGACATAGTAATCATATTAATCATTAATATCTGTCGTAGATTATCTAGAATCATCGAGGTATGATATCGTACTTGTTTGACCCTGCATAAAATAATTGGTATGTCATTTTGTAAAATATAAAAAACTATGTCAATTTACACTATTAGTTTTTAATATTGAATTTCCAACAGAAAAAATTATGGTTATCATAATTATTGATGAAAACACTCAAAACTATTTACTCCACGAAAGCGTGTTTTTTTTTGCATTAAATAAAATAAGTAATAAACATATGAAAATGTCCAGAAATTCTTGTCCTATTTTATTGAAGCTGAGATATAAGGCTGTAGTAGTTTTACGCGATTTTATCCGGCGGTATCCATTGATTGATTATGTTCATTTTTGTTTTTGAAGTCCTACAGAAATTGAAAACGCTATTATAACAACTGTTCGACAAGAAATAGGTCCTGTAGCAGCATTTAAAAAATTTATTTGTGTTAAACGTTTACCAAAAACACGTTCAGGAAAAATTGCACGAAACACTTTAACTGCTTTACTTAATGGAAAAGCATTTCGTATTCCAAGTACAATTGAAGATGCAACTGTTTATGATGATTTACGTAAAGAACTTACACAACTTGGTTATAAAAATCTCGGTGAATCAAGTCAAATGTAAACATACCTGATTAAACGTGGTTCCAATGCGTTTATTTGATCTAAATAGAACTCTTTTTGTTCTTCGGTGATAACTGATGAATTGAAATTTTCTGCGGGATTGATATTTTTCTTTTTTCTAAATTTCTTCTCTGCTTTTCTATCCTTTTTTTTCAATGATGGCATTATCAATATTTAATTAGATTAGTAGTAGTAGAAAACAAATTTTACATTATAAATATATATATATATATATTTTTTATGGCGCTAATCTTTTTTCTTTTTTCTTTTTGTTTTTTATAAACTTTTGTTCATTTTCTTTTTTTTTTCTGAACCCAGATTTAAATATATTTTTACCGTAGGCATATTGCAACAACTTTTATTACAAATTTTCTATAATAAATTAACTTCTGTGGCGCTAGAAGAGAATCCAATTTATTTTTATTAACTAATATCCGTAGATTATATGATGCTAATGTTTAGAAAACTATTTAAAAAAAAAGTAACCTGATATGTTTTTCATTGTTTTCTAATCATATTCTATAACCAGTTTGTATTCAATAAAAAACAAAACTAAAGCAGTCTTGCATTAATAATATTACACTAGATTATTTCTAGAGTCTGTTTCATCTACATATTTTTCTTCAGAAAAATGATGAGAAACCTCTCTAGAAAAAAAAAGACGATAGAAAAAAGAAAGGAAATAGTAAAGGATGACTTCTGTCACAGAAAAGACAAGGATAAGAAGCATCATTATGCATTCATTTCACAATTAGATACTCCCGAGAAGAAAACTAGTGAAGAGAGAAAGAAAAATTTTCTCTTTCTTGATATGATGGTTAGTTTTCTGTGACTTTTTACATACGTTAGCTACTTGAAAACTCACAAACAAAAACACTAGACTATTTAAAAAAAGCATGGGATGTGCACCATCAATTGGACCGCCAACAGCGATAAAGCCAGCCGAGCATATGCAAACAAATAATAATCTCATATTTACGATTGACGAAAGACTAAAATTAAAAGAAGTATGGGTGATAGTTAAACAAAATAATTTAAAAAAATTAGGTGATGATATTGTAACCAGGTAAACAAATCAATTTTAATTTTATCAGATTATTTCTTCGTGTTTTTTTGTTGTTTTTAGAGCATTAGAAAAAAATTCGTCATTAATTAGCTATTGGCAAAATGCACCTATTATTGATCAAAGAAATAATTTAACTTTTGCTGAGAGTGAATCAATTGTAGATACAGATTTAATATGGAAACAATGGTATAAACAACATGGTCATAAAATTCTAGATAAAATTGATCAATTAATTATGATTATGGTAACGCGTGTAACATCAACAAATAGTAATGATAATATACTTGATGAATATTTTCGTCGTATAGCTGAAAATCATGTACAATATAAAATAAAACAAGATCATGTTGATGTAAGTTAATAAATTCGAATAATTATTTTATATATGAAAATAAATTCTTTCATATATATTTTAAGATAATATGTGAATGCTTTATTGATTGTTTAAAAAATTTAATGTATCAGAATCGAAATGAATGGACAATAAAACATGAATTAACATGGATGAAATTATTTACATTAATAACAAATCAATTTTTATCACCAACATCAACAAAAACTATATTATGATATTATTATTTATTTGTTGTTTTTAGTAAAAATATCGTTCAAGAACATTATCATTTACATTTCGTTTTATTATTAAAATGAAATAAATCTTCATGGTTACGAATAAGTGCAAAAAACTAACGTAGTTCATGACCTTGACAAGAAAACTATTACTTTAAAAATTTTAGCTATTACGACTAAAAATTTTCTTTTAGATATCCTGTTCGTGATGCTTTACATTAGAAAAAAAAAGAAGATTCATGTTACGCAGATTCTTTTTTTTTTAACTACTTTTTTTTTTCTCTTCTGACTCAATTATTAATTATCTTGCGTAGAGATGAACGCGTTGTTAAGCTCCTTTTGTTAACAACACGAGAGGTTTTGAAAAAACTTCGTCTTAACAAGAAGAATGCCAACATGGTTGAAAGACTATTTAATTAAGCATAAAGAAAAAAAAAATTTGTATATTAACCTTTTTGCTTAGAATAATTCGACATTTTTTCAGTGATAGTGATTTCCTAATTATGCTAAAAGAATTTTTTTAATTCTTTTCTTTTCTAAAATTGTGCCAGAGAAAACAAAGAAAACTTTTATTTTTAATTAAATATGTCGTGTTTACATCATTTTCATTCAATATACAGGTATTAAATGTTGAAAACTAATAGAAATCTTCAAACGTTCAGTTCTTCATCAAAATTGATTCCATAAGAAAAAAACTTACACATACATATTATATGAAAATCAAAAGGATTTCATCAAGTATCAAGATCTCCTTGTTTTGACATTAAGTTATTTTATTAAGATTTGCTTGAACTTTCTTCCGTCATAAGATCAAGTTTATGTTAGTATATTAAGTACATTTTTGCATAAATGATCACTTAAACATGAATAGTTAACATATATATAAAGTAAGAAACAGTTCATCTTGGAAAACATGAAATAGTCAAGATTAAATATATGATAAATTTTACTAGTTGTCTTTATCTATTTCATGAACTATCAAATCAAACATGTATTCTATTTTTCATTCTAATGAAACATCAAACGTATAATTGAGAAAATTTGGATTTATAGAACAAAATTTCTTTGTTTTTTTTCATTGATAAAATCGGCAGTACTAATACTCAGCCAATGGCAACAAACAAATCTTTGTACGTCTATATACTGTGACTATCTTCAGGAAATGAATAATCCACTTTGATAATATTACTGTCACGAGCTTATCATCTTCAAGAAAAAAACACGTTACATAAATAGAATGAAAACAAAAAGTATGCATAGAATGATTTAATTTATATAGAACGTAACTGATTATGTTAATATACATTTTAAGTACTGTTTGTCATTCATATTAGCCTAGGGAAAAACAATATCAATTTCTCGTTTTTTATAACACATAGAATATGTGTTAAAGAGTAACTAAAGCTTTCATTTCTTTTTGTGCAATGAAAAATATACCTGGATAAAGAAGCAATTAGAAAAGGATTTAAATATCGAGGTTCAATAATTTGCAGTTGTTATCTTTTACCAAATAGTTTTCATATTTCTATAATTTCATCTATAAGATTAGAGAGAAAATATTTGAAGAACAAAACTAATGAGAAAAAGATCGAAAAACGAAGTTTTTTCAGATGACTGATTATAATTAAGATAAAATTATCTATCGATCGAGATGCCGTAAATATTTATACATGTTTTCAAGTTTTTACATATAACTCAAAAAATATCCTGTATTTCAATCATTTTGTTGGAAGACTACAAGTGCTTAAAATAGATATACTGTAAGTGTTTTGTTTTTTTTTCTTCGTGAAAGAACACACGTGAAAGTTAATAATAGTAATCAGCGATAGACGACGAAACGTTTTGATGGTAGGGTTGACTCAACATGTTTTTTTATAGAATCCTCATCTGGAAATTAAAACTGAAACAAGAATATCACTTAGATGAAATAGTGTTAGTGTCTCTTTTATTGAACGCTCATTTTGCAATGTCTAATAATGATGTAGATTCGAAAACAAATTCGCAACTTGCGTAAAAAAAATCATATGACTTTGGAAAGAAGAGATTCTAATCTGATTCGTCGGAGAAAAGTTCGCTAGTAAAACAAAAATTTTTCACAAAAAAAAACAAGATTTGCATTGTGAGCTTCTTCACTATTGAAAATGTTTAATAGGCATGTAATCTTAGTTGCCGAAGGCGAAGGAAAGTCTGGGCAGATTATAATTAATCTACCACAGGTTTTTCGTATACTTTGTCTTCACTTCTAATGAAAAATTTCCACTTCAATTCATTGATGATGTATGATTCAATATTTACTTGTACAAAAACTGAATGTTTTCTCAAAAATGTTTGTAAGTATGCTAGATTGAGAATATATTATTATTAGCTATTAGAGACAGCGAAAAGTATTGGTATTCGTACAAAAAAATTTGATGCACTGCTTAAATTCATCAATTTCATGGAAGAAGAAAAGTATTTGAGTCTACACAAGCTGACAAAGCGCGAATTTAGAGAAAATCTTTGCTTTCTATCGCCCATGCTTTTGAGCACGAGTTACGAGTAGATCAAATGTGAAGTATCCTTGCAACAACGCATCATTTGTCAGAAAAAAAAATGAAAATTAAACAGTAATAGAAAATTTTTACAGTAATTAGAGCTTATATAAGCTTTGATCCTTTTTGGAACTAGGCTATTTAGGTCTTGTAATACCGTCACCTATGTAATCAGTAATAAAATAGATGGTCCATATTTGTTTGATTTTTTTTTCATTCTCAGTATTGTCATTGTTATTGCTATTGTTGTTATCGTGGTTAAGTAACTTTTCGATGAAAAGACTACAGTAATTTCAATGTTTATTACATTAAGGGTAAATTCTCGCCTTGTGTGATTCGCAGTTTTTGTTTTCGTCATTTTTGGTCTTTTGTGACTATTGTATAGGCTGAGTTATATTAACTATCTACTGAGTACATTTTGACAACCAAAAATTGTATTTAAACGTTACAAAATAAAATCTATGTAACGAAAATTTCCTAAAACTATACAAATTTTCGCATCTCTCTCAAACCGAATTTTTCATAGAAAAATAAAAGCGCAGAAACATTCTCGTTTCTCTTGTTTAGTAAGTTCAATCGAACTGAAACTTGTTTTTACATATACTATAGATTGTTTTGAATGGATATTTTTTTTTATTGTTCTGCTGATTTATGGTAGCTCTTACCAAAAGAAGCATGTATTTTTTAGGATACCTTCAATATTTTAGCTCTTTTATTTCAATAACAAAAAAATACAAAGATATTTACTTCAAAGGATGTCTATTGTCTGTAAGAAAATTTTCAACTCGATCGAGCATAGCATTTCAGAGAAACTAGCATGCCATTTTTCGCCAA